TATCTTGATGCCATTTTCTTAGTAGCCTAAACCTCATTTGTGTCAGTTAACCGAGTCTTGTCTTATTTCTTACAAAAATTAATCACTATGACATTCTGATTTCGGTCTCAGAGAAAAATAAAATAAGTTTAAAACACTTACTTCTTTATATAGCTATAACTAACATTAAAAAATTAAGTCCAGTTTTTTACAAGTTCTTTGCTCTTTTGGCTACAAAGTGTTCCAATAATGACTTTCTTTGCTGAATTTATCCCAATAGATGAATCAATATTGTACTAGTTGATAAAAATAAAAAATTCTGTCTTTAGTGAAAAATACATCAATTCATTCCTGACGTGACGGTGACCTTTGTGCCTTTTCCCCAGTAGTCAAAAGCGTAGTCACAGTCTAACAAGTTATTCACCACTTCATACAAAAACAGACTTTCCATCTTGGCATACTTGGTTTTCTTCATGTTGTTTGTGCAAATTAAGATTCAAAAGACTGAATTAAACCTGTTTTTCACCACCAAGTGTTTAAACTGAGTCCTCAAATTACCTCACACTTGACTTGCAGTATTTTACAAATACAGTGGGAATACACTGTACACTAACACACTGTTTCTTCGGAAAATATCAGTTTTTAACTCAAAATCTTAAGATTAAGGATATATTTCAACTGCCTTACCTGTTGTGACTGTAACCATTGTACCTTCCCCCCAGTAGTCGAAAGCCCAGTTATCACAGTTGAGTCGTTTGCACCTCTCACAAAAACTAACTTCTCAGATATCCTGTTAATTTGTAAAGTTTTTCTGACTTCGGAAATAATTAGAACCACTCTAAACTTAATAATTGTTTACATAGTTATGTTTCAATTAAATTAAAGGTCACAAAGTTTTTAATCACCAGAGTTAAAATTATGGCTACAGATTGTAGACTTGTGATACGCTAGAAATTAAAGGACTGCATGGTTTTCACAGTGTTTATGAACTTAAATGTCAATATTAAAGAAAAAGAAATCAGATCCCTTTACCTGGTTGTGGCTTATCCCCAGTAGTCCAAAACAGTGTCTAGTATAAAATCTCAAAAATATGCAACATGCAAAAAACAACCACGCTGAAGTTCTAAATGTGTCAAATTAAACTGTGGAAGTTAAACATTTTTAATATGAACAATACAGAAAGCTTGTCTTACCTGTTGTGACGGTGACCATTGTTCCTTTTCCCCAGTAATGAAAAGCAGAATTACAGTGTAATATCTCGATAAATCCAACAAAATCTTTCATAGAAAGAAAAAAAAAATGTGTGCAAAAATATTTTGTCACCTTATATATGATTACACTAAACTGATAAATAATAAATAAACCGGTCATTTACACAGATGTTTTATTTTTCCTTGCATGTCAAATTAAGCATAAAGTATAACAAAGATTTAATTTCATATCAACCTGTGAAATGTAAACTTGTTCTCACTCAAAACAGATCAGATTGTTATTTACCAAAGGTTATTGTGACTTGTGTTCCTTTCCCCCTGTAGTCAAAGTAGCTAGCATAGCCATAGCTGTCACAGTGATCTGTTACAATCTGCTCTAATATAAACGCTTATTAACATTAAATAAAGGAAGTGTACATGTTTCTCTGAAAAAGCAGTTCCCTCTGTGCCATTTATTAGCAGTTTCCTTTGGGAGATCAGTTTCCTCTGGTTTGGCTTTTGTAAAATTATGCATCTTGCCAGCGTCCTCTTTTTTAGAGCCTCCTGTTAATTCCAACTTTTATAGAAAATAACCAGCAGAAGTTATATAGTGCTTTTT